GTGCAATGCTGTTGTAGTGCTATGTAGTGGACGGAAACCGTGTTGATGGTTAGCAACTGAATAGCTTCCTCTGATACTGGGGAGGAGTAAGGCCTCGAGAGTCTTTGCTACTGGCGACAAAAGCGAAATTGGCCTGTATGATTCGCCTTTGCTGGCATCCTTGCCAGGCTTCAGTAGCGGGACCACCCTGCCCATTTTCCAGGCTTCGGGAACTATGTGGGTGGCTAACGACAAGTTAAGGACTTTGGTTAAATACTCAACTCCCGGCGTATCCAGTTGCTTCAACATTACCATTGATATTCCGTCCGGGCCCAACGCTTTAGATGACTTAGCGTTTCGGATGACATTCGCAACATCACCCATCGTAAACTGTGGAGGTACATCCTCGGCGGGAAGAGCTCTTATACGACGTAGTACTCTTCGCCTCGCCCTATCACTCTCGGGGTGCTCGACAAATTGGCGGTTAAAACAGCCAGCGCACCTCTTCGGATCAGTCACAGTTACGTCGTTAAATGTGACTGCTGTCCTATCATCCTTTTTCCCAGGGTTCGAGAGTGACTTTACCGTTACCCACAGTTTACTCAAATCGGTTCCGATGTTGCAACACTTCAGATGGTCTAGCCACTTTTTCCGCTTATGCTCCTGTACCAACCGGTTGACTTCCACTGTCAGTTCACTGACTCTGGGATCAGTAGGGTTGGTACGTCGGAGCTCATCACGCTCATTCGCTAATCCCGCTGCCTCTGCTGGGAAATTTGGTCTTACTTCGGGTATTCGACCAGCAGGTATATAGCGAGCGGCTGCAGCTTTGATGATGTCCCGGAAAATCCTTTCAGCTACCCGAACATCAGAAGGATTGGGCAGTTCTCTGAAGCGAAGGTTGGTGAACTCTCTGAACTCGGGCCAGTGGGCTTTCCCATGGTTAAGGAAAGTGCGGCGTTCAGAGGTTATGAAATCGGGCGATCTGCTGATGGAGATGATTATCGGGAAATGGTCTGAGCCAAGAGAAATGACGGGTTGCCAAGTCACGTCATTTATCAGACCGGGTGACACGATGGTTAAGTCTGGCGAACTGTGAAACTCTCCTCTTATTCGGGTGGGGGCATCCTCGTTTACCGTGCAAAATGTGGAGCAGTCAATCTGCTCTGCCAACGCTGATCCCCTCTGGTCATTACCTAGGACGGAATGCCACAACTCATGGTGGGCATTGAAGTCCCCTAGTACCAGGCGGTTATTGCCTTCCAAAAGTGGGCTTATATTAGGCAAGTAACGCGGTTCACAGCTATTAACCGGCGGGATATACACATTAAGCACCTCTACCTCGGCAGTACCAAACTTGACTGCTACCCCATACACTCCATGTAGGGGTCACTAGAGACTAGCTCAAGCGAGATAGGTCTGTATTGAACAGAATGGTGTATCAGGAACGCTAATCCCCCACCTCCACTTCTGGTGCGATCTTTCCTCAATACGTTGTAACCATTGCAACGTTGTAAGCTACAATTTTATTGAGCTTGGTTTCCTGCACCGCTGCGATCTAGATATTCCTCCGATTCATAAAATCCACTATCTCATCAATTTTACCTCGGAGTCCGTTGCAATTGAACTGCAAGAACGATGCATTGTCCGGAATTGGAACAGCAACATGTGGCGTTAAGTGCTGCGGTAAAGGTTGCTGTTCTGTAGACTGCGGGGGAGTTCCATACTCCGACGACGACTCGGAAGTTGACGACGAGGTCGTGGACTCACTGGGGACTACGTTGGTGCAGCACGAAGCAACATAGTCCCTATCGCTATAGTCTCGCAACCGGGTTAAACCGGAACAATTTCTAAAATGCACCCATCCTCTGCATCCATTACATCGCACCAAGACTTATCTATGGTGGATGGTGTTTTGGCAAACCGTACAGAACCATGGTCCGGGGTTTTCCTCAAGCCCGGCACGGACCAAAAGAATCCGGAGCAAGCATTCCGGGATGTGCTGCTCCCAAAACAGAAAAATAAACAAACACGAACATGTATACACTGGGTTGGCAGCCGCTGGCCGAAACTGGAGTGTTGTTGTTTCGGGTCAATCCGGTGTCGTAGAACCCGCTGCCGTGGGATTGTTACGTATGGTTGTATTTTTTATTGATTTTTCGCGCTTAAATCAGTCATTAAGGCTTTTTTGCTTAAATTCCCGATTAATTTTTAAAAGCTGTATTTAGCAACACTGCGTCACGTAAGGCTATGAGCAATGTATATCTACTAGGTGGTCGCATCACTCCAGCTGACGGCACATTTCAAATGTCAAAACAAGTTGTTGTGATGCTGAATCCGCCCTAAATGAATGGAACACAAAAACAAAGTTTGTTTATGTCTTCTTCCCTAAAAGCCACCAAGTGGCTACTAGCTTCATTGCAGGGCATTCTTAAAGGGCTTTTTCTGGTGGCGATATTGGTGCTATGTTCTTTATTTAAAACCATTTGAGCGGGAACACTTGCTACTGTTATGCCATGTGCTGGAGTCGGTGGACTATTAGTGGTATTTGTCGATGAAGATATTACAGTTGTGTGTATAAATATTTCGGGGGCTAACTATCAACTTGGGGCTGTTGCAATGGTCCCCGAGAGTCGTATTATTATTGGCTTAATTTCCACGTTTCTGATTGGTTGAAACAAATTGGCCGCATACATAAATGTCGATTTGGCCTCCGTTGTATCTTTTCATTTCTATTTCAGAATGCTGTTAAATGCAGTAGTTTAAAGTCCGTAGTTGGTAATTTCTTGAGCAAGTTTGGAGTAATCCTCCTCCTAATTACCAGGGGATATTTTTAATTTCGTCGAGGCTATAGAACTGTCGATGGTCCGGGATTTGGTGTAAATACAGATTCAAGTTGCTTGGCAAATGCGTTTACTTCTCCTACCCAGGTCCCATTTTCTAGGAGAATTGGAGATTCGTGGGCGATAGGTCTTCTATGTTTTTTTGTTATGGTTTTCCATAAGCTGCAATCAGTTCTCTCTGTGGGTTGTAGGTTATTTAGGAATATTTTTAAGTTTCGCTCTTCGTTTTATCTGAGTGTTTGTTTTAGTAGTTTTCACATTATTTTAGTTTATCCCGAAGCTAGGGGAGCGGTTAAACAAAACTAACTTTCCGTTGTCCATATGTTCCAAAGCCCATTAAACAGGTCGTGAAACATTCATACTATCCATTTTTGTTTACGTTTTCATACAACTAAATCTCATTTGTGGGTCAAATCAGCTGGTCTTATCGGATAACTAAATATATAGGCCATGATCATTGCGCCATGGCCATGACAATTCATTTGTCTATGGCGTGGCCTATATAAGGTAGGTTAGTAAGCCCATCTGACAACTAAGTTCTCTGTCAAGACATGTTGTGATTTGAAATTCAAAGAGAGCCAAATCAGAATTGCGCAAAAAAAAATTTACGTTTATTGTCAATATTTTCTTAAAAGTAGTTTTCTTGGCCGATCTTATATAGGCCATTGTCTATGGTAAAATGTTGCATACTCTTAGTAACTCAAATATCAAAATTGTCCCTTTACTCGCTCTCATTTACTGCATTTTCGGGTTATCGACAAATATTGTGTACAAAATATTGGGTTATCGTACATAACTGATGTCAAACAGGGCGCTTTCTTTTGGATATCAAAACGTAGTAGTTAGGTTAGGTTAAAAAGACGTGCGGTTGTTTTATGCTAACCGCATCACTAGAAGGCCTGCTTGTGTTGACTCGGAACCCCGTCTTACCAACTCATCTACAGTCTCATTACCTGAAATCTTGTTATTTCTTGGAACAGAAACTGAGCTTGTTGAACAACTAAGTATTTGTCAAGGCTTCTCTGTACTTTAAAACTGCCATATATTTTATGACAATAGAATTAAATGCTTCAGTGCCGCTTTACTATCGACGTTCCCTTGTTTTTTGTCTGGGATATTCTCCCCAGAAGTTATTTTGAAGATAACTCCTATGACAAAAAAAAAAACTTGTTTTACCCATGTGACGAGGTCATAAGCTTAATAGAAGATGAACCAAAGAATTAAATTAATCTAAAATTCTTCTGTGGTGATATGTAGTCACTTCCTTTAAATGTTTCCACACGACCTAGGATCGCAGACTGTCCAAAGGATTGAATGCACCATTGTTGTAGTTCTCTGAGACAAAATGCACATCTTATTACCATGTTCCTCTATGTGAAGACATTGTGTGCTTAAGCAAAGTAGGGTATCAAGTGCAGCTTCGGTTGTGCTCCTGAATGCACCTTTAATAAGTAGTAATGCGGTTCTTTGAAATTCGCCAATGCCTCGTCTATAGGATGATTTACCTAAAGCCAATAGACTAAAGCTCCACAGGTTAGGATCAGACGATCAAATGACTTATTTATCCACTTGGCTATATATGGTGTAAGACCCCAACTTTTACCTATAGAGTTTTTGCAAGAGTAGAGCACGTTCCTCAGTGTTTCTCTTCTAGTTAAGCGATGCAGGTAATATCTTCCAGATTCAACGTACTTAAAAAATTAATAATGCAAATTTAATTTCAGTATGTGTGAGGCAATGTAGCATTTTTGTAAGAATACTTGCGGAAGCAAGAAAGAGAAACAAGCATTAGTATGAATGAATATGAATTTTTATGAATTTTATAAATATGATGAATAAGCAACGACATACGCTTTGACAGGCATGGATTCGTGTATATAAGGTACAACACGATACGAACGCATATAGCACAATTTTGAAATCGTTTCAGTTGCTTTTTGTCATATATTTTGTAGTATCCCATAATGGACTTCTCGGGGGTTTATAAAAATTCCAGGTCTAAATACAATTGCTGTCACTGTAATATGAAATGATACCCATGTTGTCCGCATGGATTTGAAAGGTCTAGACCTAACTCTAACGTTTTGAACCTGGAATTTCGCGTCTAATAGTCGATATCCGGTTCTGTCCTCTAACAAAATATATTCCGTTATCAGGGTAAAAATATCCAAACTAAAGTTAAGCTGAATAATATTAACGAATTCATGGTATTTATTTTTACATATTTTTTTATACATTCAAACTAAACTAGATGCATATCTATAAGGAGTTCCCAGCCAATTTTGCCATAAGCTTCTGTTCCTTAGCTTGTCGTTTAGCTTCTCTCTGAACCTTCTTTTCTTCTTTTTCCTTTTGTTCAAGGACTTCTTTAAACTTTTCGTCTCGAGGATCGACTTTATATCCAAAGTGCCTACGTACCTCTTCTATCAATCGTTCCTTTCTTTGTTTGGCGGCAAGAGCATCGGCTTCCTTTTTTTGCATCTTGTTTTGCAGGTCTTTTTTCCATTGCTCAAGTTTTTCCATATTTCGGATGATAGCCTCCTCACGCCTATTAATTTCATCAATTTGTTGCTGCTCTGCAAATCTTGACGTCACAACCATGTCGGCAAAAGCCTTTGGTTCAATTTGTTTCTCACAAAGGGCCTGCGCCTGTATCTCATTTTTTTTAGGAAAACATATGCGTGGGTCGACTCCACTTTCGAGTCCATATCGGGCAAACATTTTTCTCTGATATTTTTCTGTTGAATGTATCCATGAATGTGCGGTAGAGTAAGGGTTTTTATTACGAAGAATGTTTTTATGCTGCTGCAGGAGCCCAGATTTGTCCCGCTTAGTTTCTCCTTTCACACCTTCGAATTGAAGGACATCATCAGTCTGTCCATTTATGTTCACCGCAATAGAACTAAAAGTAGAAGTTTTCTGCCGACACATTAAATAGAAAACATTAAGATTCAGTGGTTTCATAACACAGAAAATATTCATTTTGGACAATAATTTAACTATTAGCTATGTTCTTATCTGTCATGTAGTAATACCCACATACAGGGTGATTCGTTGAAATGTTGACCTTCAGTGCCATGCAGTGTTGCCGTTTGAAATTTTTATTTCAGCCCAAATTTTTTCTAAAAACCGCCCAAAATCGACCATATCCGCCCAAACTGTAAAAAGTTGAATAATTTATATGTAGTTTGTATTCAAGTAAATTGTATTGAAAATTTTACACTATACTAAATAAAAAATAAGTAAGAGAGAAAATAAAAATTTTATGTTATTTTCTCTCTTATTTATTTTTTATTTAGTATAGTATAGTATATATATATATATATATATATATATATATATATATATATATATATATATATATATATATATATATATATATATATATATATATATTTTTTTTTTTTTTTTTTTTTTTTTTTTTGAAAGGTAACATAGTACAAGAAATCAATGTATTAAATACATTAAAGTCATTATTATTATTATTATTCAGGTTTTTATACCCTACAAGACTATGTGTTGGGGGTATTATAACTTTGATTGGGCCAAAAATTATGTAGCACCACGAAATATTGGTTTCCAACATAGGAAAGTATATATGGATCAGAGGGCTGCAACGAGTATTCAAAAATTCAAGCATACTCAGTTTCTTACATGATTTTTGTAGATGCATTCGTTTAGTTTGATCTGAATGAAATTACCGTTTTCAATTCTGATCGAATCGAACGCTCAGTTTGAATCACTTCACTCACAATCAAACATGAGCGTTCGAGACGGTTTGATGTGTTCAGCGACATGAGTTGATCGAACACATGAATGTAAATGAGCAATCACAACCGTGATTGTCTTCTTTGAATCGAGTTCGCTCAGCGTCATTGTTTATTCAATCATTTAATCAAGTTGGGACAGTTTATTTTGACTTTTTTAATATTTGAAATGGAAGAATATTGTGATAGTGCGACCGAAATTGTTGCAAGTAGAAACTACACACGTGTAGGTAAACGAAAAGATCGACGTTTGTGAAAAATCTAGACCAATATTGTAAAATATTTAAACATTTTTTGTTTTCTAAATAGCAATGATGTGTTTCTTTATTAAACATTTTAATTTTAATTTCGTTTTTTTTTTTTTTTTTTTCAAATAAGTTACTGAAGTCTAGCACACCAAAAACCCAAATAAAATGAAAAAATTGTATGTTTATTAAATATCATTTGTACCAATTTCTTTAATGGGGACAGCTTTTAGTTATGAAATCCTTAGTAAAATTTCAATCATGATTTCGCTCAGATTCGAACATTTGTGTTTTAATCAAATCAAATCACTCACTTAACTAGTATAAATAAAACCGATCAGACTCATCATAGATGATCGACCCGTTATGAACAATTCAACATAAGTTCGTAAACAAATAACTCATGTGAGCTGTTTGATTGCGAACACAAAACTTCGATCGATACATGTCTGATCACATCTTTTTCGTTTGGCTTGAGCAACTCGAATGAACATGTTGCATCTGAGCGACTGATTGAGTTTGATTGTATTTCCACTGTGTGTGATCAAGCCTACTCAATCATACTCATTGCAGCCCTCTGATATGGATCTTCCTATCTCGCCGAGCTGAGTCGATCTAGGTATGTATGTCCGTCCGTCCGTCTGTCCATGTTAATTTGTAATCACTCTATAGGTCGCAATTATTTAGTTGCTTTACAGGTCACAATTATAGACCAATCGAAGCGAAATTTAGCATGGGGCTAGATTTTGGACTGGGCAGAAGCCTTCCAATTTTGATGGTCATCGGGTAATATTTAGTGGTTTAGTAGACCATAGCATTTGCGATAAATAAAAGTCAAATTTTCCATTAATCCGCGAATATTTTTACTGCCGGCGAAATCACAAATAGACGAACAGGTCAATTCTGACCGTTACGTAGATGCCGATAGAAAAAATATCGGATATATATAATATATAAGGGGATGTCAGCTAAAATGCTTATATCTTCAGAATGGCTGGAGCGATTTTGACAAATTTTGTCAATTTAGAATGCCCTTGTGGCATTAAAGTATAAATACTAAAAAATCGCATAAAAAGATACCAATAATGATGTTCATATAGATTTTGTAGTATTTTGTGACATTTTTTTTATTTTTTTCATATTTTCTATCGCTTGCGATTTTTTCAAATTGACTTATAATATTGAAGTATTTGTTTTGTAATATTTTTTCACTTTACAACACAGGTTAGGGTTATTATTTATATACAGATTGCAATTATCGTTCGATCCTCACGAAATTTTTCAAAAAGGTAGGGTTAGGCTCAGAAGGGCTTAGCCTATTGTGTTCAAAGATGTCCGCAATATATTTAGGGGTTGAAATTGGCCAGCAACTCAAAATGTTCCTGATTTTGCAGCCGTTATAAAGGTCCCAAATATAAACCTAAGGATGAAGTTAGAGCTTAGGACAGCGGGTAGAATGGACCACTACTTTTGTGTAAAAAAATACCAATATTACTTACAGGCGATACACAATAGGCGAACTTCTGGCTTTTTTATGCTGATTTCGTTGACGAATATAGCCAAATATCGTAGACAAGCAAATCATATAGATGAGTCTAAATTTGGAGACTCAGAGGGGCCTCTTGCTTTTGGAGATGATCGCAATATATTTAGGGGTTTAAATGAACCAAAAACAGAAAAAAATTTCCTGATCACACAATTGAAGCCAATCGACACGCCTGAGATAGGTAAGCACAGGGAAGAATTCTGGCATTTTGGATGACCATTGGAATATATTTAGCCGTAAAATGGACCACAAAAACTAACAGCACGACGGAGTGCATAAATATTAGGAAAATGTCCCTGGTCAAAATGCTAAGGGTAATATCTGGGCAGTGCTCCGTGACATAATTTCAAAAGCGAAATCTTCCAAAATGGATTTGGATATGTGGCGGCTTCTAACATATTGTAGTGTTGTAGGGTATCACATGGTCGGCCCCGCACGACTATAGCCTAATGTATTATATATATTATTAAAAAACTTAACAAAAATCTATAAAATAAATAACGGTTAATAAAAAAATATAAAATTCAGTTAGTAATAAAAAAATTAAAATACGTAAAAATAAACAATGAAAAATAAATTTGTACCCAATATGGAAAAAATCCGCCCAAAATCCGCCCAAACCACAAAATTTATCTTTTTTCCGCCCAAATTTGGACGGAAACGCCCAAAACGGCAACACTGGTGCCATGGCGCAATAACAAGGTGTCCCTGCAAATTTTAAAAACAAGATCAAATGTCATATTTTGTTTACACTCTGTTGGCTTCTTGTATAGCCTTCGATCTGTGATTTCAACATGGTAGAAAAATACATGTAGATGCATCAATGCTTGGAAACATTGATATGTCAACATTTTTGAAATGTTTTTTCAAAAATAAGTAGATATTTATATGTTTTCGATACGACGCCAATCGGAGATTGTTATGATATTCGTTTTTCAACAATTTTTCCGAATTTGAATAACTTTTCATTTAAAATTTTCAATTTCAAATTTAGTTTGACAGTTCATTGTCCCAGCAGCTGTGTCGATGCGACTACCTGTATTCTTCTACCATGGATTTCAATAACGATAATGCATTTTGACATTACATTTGGCGGGGAAACTTATGCTTGGGTCATGTTCAGTCCTTTAAAAATCCGGCGAGTCCAAACATAAAAACTAAATAACCAAACCATAAAAACCCCAAATTAAGACCTACATAAGGTCTACCAAAAGACTACTTTTGCAAAAACTTAGTAGTTTCTGCACTTCTGTCATTTGACTCTCTTTGTATTTAAAATCACAATTATGTTTTTTGACAGCAAACTTTGTTGTCAGATGGGCTTGCCGACCGACCTTACATAGGCCATGAACTAAATATGGGTCCCATGGTATAAGAATACAGGTGGTCTCATCGACACAGCTGCAGGGACAATGAACTGTCAAACCAACTTTGGAAAAAAAAATAAATGAAAAATTATTGAAATTCGTAAAAAATGTTCAAAAATACAATTACATCCTCCGATTTGAGTAGTTTACGAAAACATACGAAAATCTATCTATTTTTAACAAATGATTTTAAAAATTTCGACATATGAATGTTTTCTATCGTTTGTGCATCTACCTGTATTCTTTTACCATGATAGGTCCATAAGCTTAGATGGATCCATGGTAGAAATATCAGGTAGCAACATAGGCGAAAATTACAACAAAGCAACTTTTTTCGAAACTTGATATGTCAATATTGAAAGCAAAGCGAATTTACATGACATATAAAATTTGAAGCAAATTGGTTTGCACCAATCAGAACAATTTTTAAATATTGAAGAATATTGTTTATTTTTAAAATTTTTATTGAAATTTCAAGCAAGGAAATGTTGTGTTGTTGCGGATTGTATTGTTTTGTACGTTTCCCGATTTAAGAGAACACCATCTTTATTACAGATCTTGTGTAGATGAAAATATTCAGATGTACCAAGTCTCAATAGAAACGGATGTTAATTTCTCGTTTTATGAGCTTCGTGGGTTTTCAAAATTTTGAGCCTTTGTGGGGGAGGTACCAGAAGGAGTGGACCGATATATCCCATATTCACAGCTTATCTTGAGTTAGTAGAAATAATGGGATGTGTAAAATATAACATGGTAGAAGAATATAGGTAGACGCATCAACACAGCTGCTGGAACAATGAACTGTCAAAACAATTTTGGAATTGAAAATGTTGAATGAAAAATTATTTAAATTTGTAAAAATTGTTGAAAAACCGCGAATTATAATGACCTTCGAATGACGTCGTATAAGAAAACATTTAAAAATCTGCTTATATTTGAAAACACATTTAAAATTTTTTGACATATCAATGTTCCCAAACGTTGATGCATCTACCTGTATTATTAAATCTACCATGATATATTAAAAGAATGTGATGCCTGTTTCGGATTTAATAAACGTTTTGGTTATTCAAAAAATATTGGTATGTGTGAAATGTTGGCCCTTTCTGAGGGAGGTACTTGATGGAGTGG